TCAGATGAGTCCACCCTTATAGTTGCAGGTTCAGTAGTTGAAGTTTCTTGATTTTCCACCACTGCAGACAAAGGTACAGAAACTGGGTCTGGGTCTGGCTCCACTTCTGGAATAGTTTCCAACTCAGGTTCACCCACCTTCCTCTTCCCCTTAGCTTGAACAGTGGTCCAGCCTTCTTCCTGAATAGTGATGTTTTCCTCAGATGTCTTCTGCAGGGATATCAAATGAGCCACTTGTTTAGACACGCACTTTTCAGTGCTATGTCCAAATATTTGATAGTGTTGACACCGGGATGGCAGTCCCTGATATTCAGCTCGGATTAGAACAGCATCATCAGCATGCCTAATTTGGAAGTAGGTTGGCAGTTTTGAGGTGGCCTCAATTTCCACGCAGACTCTAGCAAATGCCACCCTACTACCCCGCGCCGTAAGCTGGTCCATGAAAATGGGGTTACCAATAGCACTGGCAATCCTACTCAAACCATCAGGATCCCAATATTCCAAAGGAATATTAAAAAATTTCACCCAGACAGGGATTTTGGTTGATTTATCTTTTGTTAGTTTCATCATCCTTTTCCACTGTTTCAGAATAAGGAGATAGCCACCTATATACCACGGGCCTCCTTCAAGAACTTCTCTGCAACAATCAGGAGTGTCGAAAATGAAGAACATAAATCCATCCCCATTAGTTAAAACCTCCTTGAGGCCCTTAGCTTTCCACAGTCCAAAAGCACTATTACGCAGATAGTTGTAACCCACCCCCTTGTCAACAAAATAACCCACAAGGCAGGAGTCCCATTTCTCAAGCGGATCAGTACACGAAGGCATATTCACAACAACACTATCCTCAACAGTAGTAGGAGGGATATACCTGAGCTTGATATTTGAGCGGGTTGATGCAGCCGTGATGTTTTCCCAAGAGCGTTGTTCTGGGCCCACATGCTCGATGGACCTGTTCCCAGCGGCACCACCGCGACCTCCTCTCCCCCCACGATAACTTCCGCCCCCCCGAACGGCTCTTAATTTCCAAATAGATCGTTTAGGTATATTGGTTTCTTGAATGAACATCAATTGTTTATTTTATGCAACTTCCATTTTTATTTTTATTCAATTTCCGTTTTTATCCAATTTCCTTTTCTATTCAACTTCCTTTTTTGTTTAATTTCCAAATAGATCGTTAAGCTAAATTGGTTTCTTGAATGAACTGCCATTGTGAATTTTATGCAACTTGCATTTTTAATTTTATTCAACTTCCATTTTTATTCAATTTCCATTTCTACTCAACTTCCTTTTTTATTTAATTTCTAAATAGATCGTTAAGGTATAGTGGTTTCCTTAATGAACTTTCATTTTTAATTTTAAGCAACTTCCATTTTTATTTTTTTCAACTTCAATTTTTATTCAATTTACTTTTCTTTCAACTTCGTTTGTAATATAATTTCCAAATAGATCGTTAAGGTATAGTGGTTTGTTGAATGAACTTCCATTTTTATTTTAATTCAACTTCCATTTTGATTTAATTTTGCAAATAGTTCGTTAACGTATAGTGGTTTCTTAAATGAACTACCATTGTTAATTTTATGCAACTTCCATTTTTATTTTTATTCAACTTACATTTTATTCAATTTCCTTTTCTATTCAACTTTTTTTTTTACTTAATTTCCAAATAGATCGTTAAGATATAGTGGTTTCTTGAATGAACTTTCATTTTTATTTTTATTCAACTTCCTTTTTTATTCAATTTATTTTTCTATTCAGCTTCCTTTTTTATTTAATTTAGAAAAATAAATTGAATAAAAAAGGAAGTTGAATAAAAATAAAAATGGAAGTTGCATAAAATTATAAATGGAAGTTCATTCAAGAAACAACGGTATCTTAACGATCTATTTGGAAATTCGATATAAATGGAAGTTGAATAGAAAAGGAAATTGAAAAAAATGGAAATTGAATAAAATTAAAAATGGAAATTGCATAAAACTAAAAATTAAAGTTTATTCAAGAAACCACCATACCTTAACGATCTATTTGAAAATAAAATAAAAAAGGATGTTGAATCGGAAAGCAAATTGAATAAAAATGGAAGTTGAATAAAAATAAAAATGGAAGTTGCATAAAATTAAAAATGGAAGTAGCATAAAATTAAAAATGGAAGTTCATTCAACAATCCACAATACCTTAACGATCTATTTGGAAATTGAATAAAAAAAGGAAGTTGAATAGAAAAGTAAATTGAATAAAAATGCAAGTTGCATAAAATTAATAATAGAAGTTCATTCAAGAAATCATTATACCTTAGTGATCAATTGGGAAATTAAATAAAAAAGGAAGTGGAATAGAAAAGGAAATTGAATAAAAATGGAAGTTGAATAAAAATAAAAATGGAAGTTGCATGAAATTAAAAATGGAAGTTCATTCAATAAACCACTATACCTTAACGATCTATTTGGAAATTGAATAAAAAAAGGAAGTTGAATAGAAAAGTAAATTGAATAAAAATGGAAGTTTAATAAAAATAAAAATGCAAGTTGCATAAAATTAATAATGGAAGTTGATTCAAGAAACCATTATACCTTAGCGATCAATTGGGAAATTAAATAAAAAACCATCCAGATAACAACTAATATATCCTAAGTTTGAAACCCAATTGGTCTCACTTGATTTGCTTATCAAAATAATTATTTACAATTAATTATATCTAAACTGGTTGTTTTCTGCAGCACTTTAAAAAAATTGATGGTTCTCTTAGTATACATGGGCAATCAATGCAAGGGCAAAAATGTAAGAAACTAGACTCATAACCGATTCTACTGACACTAATTTGGTAATTTTTGGATTTATACCCAAAGAGAACGACACTCCCAAATTTACGATTTTAAACCAAATTTTTGGACAGATTTGAACGCATCAGTTTATATGGATTTCGACTTCCAAAATTTATGAAAAACTTTAGATATGCAACCCAATATGTAATTAATCTATTGTAAAAATTTCAGTTCAAAATTCATTCGTTTGATATGGTTTCTTGATTTTTAAATTTTGTGATTCTGTGCAGAATTTTTGGACTAAGAATTATGCCCATTATTTATGCATGAATTTAACTCCTCAGAATTATTAACCGTATATATGTATACAAAATACATAAACCTACAACCTCTCCATCAATGAACTAAATAATAATAGAATGAGGATAAAGAACAAAAACAAAGAGAAGAAGGAAGATAGAGACCTACCACACACCCAAAAGTTCTTCCTTGTTTGCAACCCCCTTTTTTTTTTTTTTTTTCTTTTCTCCCAACCTCTCTCTTCCTATGGCGGTTGGTCCTTGTAGGTGGGGAAGTCAAAAGACGGTTCGGTGATGGTGGCGGACGATGTCGGCTACTACGGAAGAGAAAAAAACATAATCTCATTAGAAAAAAGATAGCGTAAAGTTTAAATATTGGTAGCAGTAGAATCGTAAATCTATCGCACATCATTCATAATCTAATTAGAAAAAAGATAGTGTAAAGTTTAAATATTGGTAGTAGTATAATCGTAACTTATCCCATATCGTTTAAAAACAATGCATAATGTTTGAATATAAGGGGTGATTGAGACATCTAATGATTGCCGAGCTAAGTAGCGTTAGCTTATGACTCAAGCGAGGGCACCAAAGTGGTTGGATGATGGTAAAGTTGATAGATGGCTTCAACGCTTGAACTCAAGTTGTAGCCAGCATAGTTGAACTCAGGCTAGACTAGTGAACCTGTAGGTTCCCTAGCTATTACTTTAGTTTAAGTCATTGGACAATCACTTTTTTTTTTTTTTTTTTTTCGTGTGGTAAAATAAAAACAAAAACTAAATATCCCTTCATTTTTTTTTTTTTTTTTTTTTTAATTTTTTTATTAATTCAAAATTCAAAATTCAAACACAACAAATATGATATAATAAACTAAATATACTTTCGCACCCTGTGGATCAGTCCTTGGTGATGATTACAAAACATAAAAATGATGATTTTTTCTATTTCAATCAATAACATTTGATGGGGTTGGCAACTAACCAAAAAAAAAACTATTTTTTTTTTCTTTTGAATATTGTATTTTTTAAATTTGCGTCAAAGATTTTACATTTTTTGTGTATCTGGTGTAGAATGATCTAAAAACATCACCAACTTATTTTCACTTTTATTTTTAATGAATTGTTTTTCATTTTTTTTATAACTTATTTGGTCCATATAGTCGCGTAGATTCTAAAACGCAAACTTTTTTCAAAAAAAGTTCATAAAAAATGAACAAAAAAAAAGAAAAGAAAACCATAAGTTCACGGCCCAACCCAGATCTGTTCCTTAGTGCCCAATGTCACCAAACACAGTGGAACAATTTCCCTGGACTAAAATACACAGATGGTCCCAATAATCAATACACATCAGTATCGCAAAGCGTGGTACTTCACCATTATAGACATGAAACCAAAACTAATTGTTTACAGTATGCTAAGTTACATGTTTTACAAATAATTTGATTCCATTGATAATATAATAGTTTTATCAAAACGGTTTAGTCTTGAAACAACAATTTAACTTTCCAACAGTTGAAGGTAGGGGAACATTTATAAAAATATATAGCATGAAACTACTCACCTGAAAACAAAATAATATAATCCTTGAATAGAGTATGAAAGTCCAACTAGTGCCCTGAACCAAGTATGAAGACTACACGTCACTACTAATTTAAAAATACTAAAGATATAAATAAATTAAAAATACTAAAGATATAAATAAATTAAGTATCCCGCACTAAAGCGCACTAACACAGCTTAACCCCACTCATCGTTACTCTTAAATAATAACTAAGTTCATGTTCTTCAAGTTCTAACATTACCCAAGACATGGGTTCAAATTGAAACTTAATTAAAAGTAACTTTAAGATAAAACAGAGTTTTAAACAAACTTCTCCAATCTATTCGCTAACTTTGAAAATTACAAAACCCACTCCACGCTATTTGAAAAATTCCAAAACCATCCAGATAACAACTAATATATCTTAAGTTTGAACTATAAGTTTGGAGTTCTGATGATATTGAAGGTAAAGCATTCCTAGCACCAGCATCAACAAGCTACACCCCATTCATCACTGTATCGACATGGACTGTGTTGCCATCTTCGAGAAATTTACCATTTACTGGAGTTCTCAGCCTCTGAACAAACAAAAACAAAAAATTTTAGTGCCATATTTAAAAACAAAAGAACAAGAAGGTAAAAGAAAGTTATTGATTCTATTCACCCAAAAAGTTATTGATTCATTATATACCCGATCTATAGGATCCCTAGAGTTTCCATTTAAGAGCTTGTGATTCTCTTCTTTTGTCCGTCCATCCTTGCTCAGCGGTAGCAGAAATGACGCACTACGGTCAGGTAATTCTGCATAAGACAACTCAAAGTCAATACTAGTGTTTAAAATGCAGGGCTAAAAGGAAAAGATGGAATTAAAGCCAAGGAATGGGATGTGAAATGGGAGTTGTACAAATGCTAACCTGGCAACTTGTGGTCAATGAAGTACACCACCAAATTAACAATGTACCTATAACAGAATCATATTGTTGAACTACATCAGAGAAATATCATAAACATATTGGTTCAAAGATATATAAATTGACGTGAAATATTATCACTCTACCATGCCACAACAACATCAACCGTGTAATGTTTGCGGGCTGCTACAATCAATAAGCTCTGGATCACAATAGTAAACCAAGCACACTGCTTTATGAACCTGCATATGTAAATTTCATTAAATCAGAATGTGTATATATATAAACACCTAGGAGAGGCAATTTCATTAGAATCGGCAGAATACTGAACTTGAAATCATTTTTTTTTTAACTCAGCCCAAGCTTTTGAGTAAATTGCCAAAATGATCAACCCTTGAGAGTTTTGGAATCTTCCATATTTTTTCATCATTTTTGCGAGATTTCAACAGAAGCAAACCAAAAAAAAGGCTAAAAACCATGTCAAAATTTGTTTTTTTTTAATCAAACTTTCCATTTTATGCCAAGAATTTTTTTCATAATTTTGTTAATTGTGCATGTGCATGGGTTAAGCAAGGATCAAATTTTAAACCATGTCAAAACTTGCATCAAACACAAGGGATAGATGATAGAAACCCAGGGATCCATGTACCAGAAATAAAAATGTACATATATGAACTCAGGGCAGACAAATCCTAATTATAATTGACAAACCCCAAATCCCAACAGTATCCTTGTCAACATTTTCCTCCAAATGATGCCTATATATATGAAATAATATCAAGAAAATAGGTTTTCCATTAATAGTGGGATTCAAGAGAGGTGAGAAGGAAGAGAAAACAAGATGCCAAGGCCTTAAACCTAAACAAATAACTTCTCTTGAGTTGAAATCTTTTAACCGAGAACAACCAATGAAAATGCAGGCACAAGAATTGTGTTGAGTCTATAGAGCTAACCAAAAATTGCACCCATAAGTATTGCGCTAATCACCAGATGCCCTACATATCCAAATAAACAATTCCCTTTCTATCTCACTACACAAAATAAACACTTATCTTTCTGTCCCACTTCATGGAGATATTATTTGAGAAAACAATCTGTCCAATTAACAAAGCATAACAGGTTGAACTGTCTCAAAATTTTCACTCAACTCTCAATTCTTCAAGTGCCTCCTTAACATCTTGATAAGCAACTAGTTCTCTGGCTTCTGATGTAGAAGCTACTGTATTAGCCACTGTGTTGGCTACTGTAGATATAACATCTTCTGTAGGAGCAGTAGACATAAAGTTGTATGATGACCATAAATGTATAATTAAAATAAAATAGAACTAACTATAATCAACATTAAACTTGGCTCTGATACCAATAATGGTGCTTGACACAGGGTAAAGCTAGCACGTCTGTCAACGACTTATGAGAATGACCTAACCGCAATCACTGCTACTGGTCTAACCTCTACGCGACTTGGGTGACGTCCCACTAACCCTAACACTGTTCTACCCATTATTAAGCACTTAACCAGGAATAGTATTCATCATAGTTTTATTTTATTTTATCCTAATTATGACATTTATGGTCTCATGATCTACTGTTCCGGTGGGGGAGGCCTAACGGCCTTAGCTATAGCCAAGAGGTAAAATGATTAGCTCCAGTATCCACTGCACAAGAGAATATAGTTAGATAATCACACATGTATGTTCACAATCACTTAACCCTCTTATAGTGATCTCACCACACTCAGCAGCCCTCCCATTTCTGTAGCATGGGGCTTCAAGATTGTGTCGGGCAGATTCCACTGAGTCAAATACCAATTATCACCTGTAGATCTAGATAAATTTGTGATAGAGAGAAGTCGACCTCTAATCATATGTATGATAGATTTAATAATCACCACTTCAGGTTTGAGTTCTTTATAAAAGATTCTATTGTTCCTCTCAAGCCAGATATGGTAAACAGAGCACAGTAATGTGAGCTTAAGAATTATGGATCTCAAAGACTTGCCTTTGGTTTCAGCGACAGCAAGATTCTGAATGTGTGGCCATTGGAGACTAGGCCAATTAACATTACACTTATCTTTAAGAGTCTCCCAGATCCTAGCAGTAAAGATGCAATCAAAAAATAAATGGGAATGGCTCTCAGTAGAGTGTTGACAGAAAGGGCAGTTTGGGCTAGATGATAGACCAAACAACTGCAAGCGATCCACATTATTTAATCGCTCTTGGATAGCCATCCACACAATAAAACTAACTCTAGGTATCATATGTGGCCCCCAAAGAAGGTTATGCAGGCCACAGTGTCAAATTTGGTTCTCCAGTAATTCCAGGCAGATTTAATAGAGAAGACACCATCCGGGTTTAATTGCCAAAAAGGTTGGTCACTTCTCGAAGAGTTAGGTTTACAGCTACTAGGAGTAGCTGAGATTAATTCCCTAATCTCCCAAGAATTAGGAAGAGTTAAGCTACAATTACTCAGAATTTTTTTTGTTAGAGGCTAAGCAACGTTAGTTTGAGTTAAACTTGCCCTATGCGATCCTGGTTGTCCTTTTACTGTTCTGTTGTATTCCGGACTCAGTTCCGTGAAGTTGGTAGTTGTATCTATCTTGTTGTCATCCTTAAATTCCGTTTGTTTGAGTTATAGGATGTGTTGGGCTTGTTTCGAACAGGTGGGTTGAACCTTGGGCTGAAATCTTGTTGCCAAGTTTTTGGTCGTCCCGCTCGAGCGGGTCTTGTTGCGCTCGAGCGGATATTGCACACTCCCAGTTTTTCGTGTTCCTGTAAAAACTTTTGCAGGTGTGATTTTTACACTCGAGCGGGTTTTTGTACGCTCGAGCGGGTACTTTAGCGCTCGAGTGGGTAGTACCTTTTTGGTGTAAGTTCTGGGAGGGGGAAATCTACGCTCGAGCGGACTGGTTTTCGAGCTCGAGCGGATGTGCTTTATTCTTGTGTCTTGGCGCTCGAGCGGACCTAGTTTTTGTTCTTGACGCTCAAGCGTTGTGTTTTCCGCTCGAGCGGAAATGTCGTATATCAGTTGGCTGTGGGGCAGTTTTAAATCACTTTTTCTCATTCTTTCTCTCTCTTACTTTTCCGAAAAAGCCATTTGAGAGCTTCTCTCTCTAGAATCTTGCCTTCTCTCTAGGTATTGATCTAGCAAGAGTTGTCTCCTCACCTTTGGCCTTTACAAAAAAGTTGTTGATCGTCGAGGGCTATCTTTTGATCCGAGAAACTCGTGGTTTGGAGCAATTTTGTTTTCACCATCTTCTTCGTTGGGTGTCATCTTTTGAGGTAGGGATTCCTACTCACTCTTATGGGTTTTGACATAGATTTTGAGCTTATTGTTTAAATGGTTGATTTTGGGACTTAGGGTTTCAAAATGTGTTAAAGGGGGTTTTGTGATTTTGGGCTCATAATATGTACTTTGGGTTTCAAAATGATGATATAGTTGTTGGTTGGTGATATTGGAACCTTTGGGTTGATATTGAGAGTTGGGGTAAAAGCCCTAATTTGTTGTTTAAAATTAATTGGTATAATTAATTTGGAAAAATTGTAGCTATGTGGAATTGAGATGGAAATAATGAAATTGATTCATTATGTGGTTGAATAGTGGAGTTGGATTTATAAATTGCTCATTTTTTAAAACAGTGATATTTTATCTGTTGGAGCTTTTATTATCTGTTTAGAAATAATGGCTTGGGCTACCGATGGAGGGTAGTTTTGATTGTTGTAGACGATGCATGATGATTAGGCAAACTAAAACTAATCAATTGGATATGTCATAGAGTATGACGGTTGATAGAATACATTAACGTTATGTATTGATTGATTGTGTATATGACCTTTGTGTATATACATTGTATGTGTGGGAGGAGATAGGGGAAGTACTCCACGATTTAGGGGAAGATAGGGGATGGACCTCTAAACCGGATGTTGTTTGGGAGGAGATAGGGGATGGACTCCAGTGATACAGCTCATATGCTTGTCAGATAATGTGTTGATATAGCTCATATGCTTATCTTTGGAAGTGTTGATACAGCTCATATGCTTGTCATTGGAAGTGTTGATATAGCTAATATGCATATCTATTGAAATGTGGATATAGTTTGTATAATTATCTGTTGAGATGTTGATACAACTAGTATGTTTATCTATTGTAAAAATGGAAAATGTTAATATAAGTCATTGTCTCATATAAATTGTTGGCCAGGTTCTGAGCCGTTGATGTATGTAACGCCCTCAAAAATATACCCATTATACATATATCATAGACATGCATTATTTAAAGAAAACACTTTAATAATTCATTATAATATCCATCAGAGTCTTACTAAACAAAAGCATTACATGTAACATCAAAGTAAATGCCCTACCGGCTTACATCTTTCCAAGCCAACACTTGGACACAAAGTATGAGTTCTAACTCAAATATAAATAAAGCCCTAGGCTTGAGTGTTTACATGTACTAACAATGAAAAACAAGGTCTACGTCTAGTTGGCTATTGTGATGCTGACGAGGGAGGAGACTTAGATGAGCGTAAGTCTACTTCAGGATATGCTTTCATGCTTAGCGATGGTGCTATTTCTTGGAGCAGTAAGAAGCAATCTTGTATCGCCTTATCAACTATGAAGGCTGAGTTTGTGGCTTGTTCATCTGTCGTTCAGGTGGCTGTTTGGTTGATGAGGTTCCTTAAGCATTTGGATGTTCTCACACACACTTCAGACCCAATGACTATCCATTGTGACAGCATGGTTGTGCTCGCTTATGCTAAGGATCCTAAGTAACACGAGAGAACCAAACACATTGATGTAAGGTTCAACTTTATCAGAGACATTGTGGCGTAAAAATAAGTGATCTTGGAGCATATCCCTACGAGTCGCATGGTTACAGACCTTTTGACTAAGCCCATTCATAAAGATGTTTATCTTACTCATGTTAGGGCTTTAGGACTAC